CACATCAGGAACGGCTGCTGGGTGACTCCTGGTAGCTGCCATCGATTTGCTGAGGTCTGGGATGTGAATGCGTCGGTTGCCGATAGCTTTTGTAAGTTGTGTTACCGGGACAAGGATTCAGGTTCCTCCAGCTCCGGGGAGTCGTCTTCTACGGAGCTCGGTGATTCCCTTTGACAGGGATCAGTGCTTTTGAGTTTCAAGATCAGTGAGTCGTGCGTCTCGAGGCAAAACTCAATGGGGTCTCGTTCGCGAATTGCGGTTGCTATCAGTCTTGCTGTTGCTCGCTTTCAGCTGCCTTTGCTTGGATTCAGTATCGATCTCTGGGCAGACGCTGTGCTCAGACTGTCAGACATGTCAGTTGGATGGACATCAGTGACTTTCAGTTCCCCTGCGGGGATTCAGTCTCTTTCAGCCTTGCCTTTCAGTCTAAGAGCGTCTGCTCTGCTTTCAGATGTTTTCAGATATCAGCTTGCATCGGATCACTCCTTGCCTCCATGGCTGCTGCTGCTGATCCCGCGGCCCAGAGCCGCTATCTTAAAGAGAATGTGGACGCTGATTTCATCTTTCTTTTGGAGGAACATGGGGTCGATCTTGCTTTGCAGTTTGCAATTGGTCAGCATTACAAGAGCATTCGCACCTTTGCTGCTTTTGCCGATGATCGTGGGACGGCTCGGACTGCTATCACTTCTGACTTTGGAGTTAGGCCGGAAAGCGCCGCGGACCGAGCTCGCGTAGCCTGCGTTATCACTGCTTGGGAGGCTTCGAAACTCATTCGTGAGGAGGAGGCCAAGCTTCGTGCAGAGGCTAAGGTTTTGGGGGTTCAAAAACCCTTGGCATCATCCGATCGGGCGGCCATGCGAGCTGCGTTGGAGACCGTTCGGGGCTACAGTGTTCCCGAATCGGAGGAGCCGGCACCTGAGTACTTGGCACACAAGCTTGAGCAGATTGAGAATGGGGAGCCGACTGCAAGTTATCTGGACGAGGTCATTTCACGTAAGGAGTCCAACTCGCTTCAGCTTCAGACTTCTTTGGATAATCAGGGTCGGCTTCGGGTCATGCGTCAGAAACCAAAGGGGCGGCTTCCACAGAACACAGAGGAGCTGAGGGCAAAGCTGCGGCTGGAGGCTTCGGCATGGGTCATGCTCTCGGCTAAGTGCAAGGGGCGTGCTTATCTTCAGGATCTTCGTTTGTCGCACTTTGATCGTTATCTGGAGTTTCTTCTGGGTGACAAGTGCTACAACATGCAAGTGGCCGGTGCGGCTCCTACCAGCTCGGCGGCGCAGGCTGAGCGGCACACTCTTGCTGTCCCGTGGAACGTTTTGCTTCAGTATGAGTTCGAACTTCGTAAGTGGGCGATCAAGGAAGCTCATCGGGATGGTATCCCACT